CAGAGTACAGTAACCAGCACCAGAGAACCCAAGCACGGGCTCCAGCCAGTTTGCAATACAAGTCCCACCAGCGGGATGTTCCCTGTACTACAGCCCACCTGATACGCCACGGAAGCTGAGTACAGGCACCTCCACCGTTGGATACATACCAAAGCCCAAGCCATGTACACAGGAACCACGGACCCCATTGCGGCAACATCCAGTGTCCAGCCTCAGAGTGCACAGAAGTATTCTCGTATAGCAGCGTTAAAACCATAGTGGTAAGTATTGACCTCACCACTACTGGAGGAGAGACCATACACAATCTGAGCCCACTGCCGGACACCAAAAGGAACCTAGCAAGCACCAAGAATAAGAGACAATAACGGCGACCACCTCGGGCCGGCCCCCTCGCCCTGGTTAGAGTCGTTCGGGCCCCTGCTTGTGTGAGTCGCTCGGGCCTCTCGCCGAACGACTCCGACAACGAGGAGGGGCCTGAACGCTTCATACCAGGAGGGGGGACTCGAACGACTATCACCAAGAGGGCACCGAACGAATGCACTGCACCCATGTAGCGCCCACACCCACGGATAAAACTGCCTGCGCTCCCAAATAGCGATACCACTCATTAAAGCTTGAGCGGTGTATCCAAAAATACTCCCACCAATGAACCATCACTGAGTACAGTAACCGGCACCATCACCTGAGCAGGGTAATCAGCACCATCACAGACTACAGTAACCAGCACCAGAGAACCCAAGTACGGGCTCAAGCCGGGAGTGGAATACAAGTCCCACCAGCGAGCTGTTTCCTATAGTAGACCCCACCTGAAGCGCCACTGAAGCTGAGTAGAGGCGCATCCTCCATGGGATAGATACAGAAGCCCAAGCCATGTATACAGGAACCGCCGAACCCATTGAGGCAACATCCCGTGTCCAGCCTCACTGTACCCAGAGATAGTCTCGCCAGTAAAGCATCCCGCACCCCAGAACCCAACGGTATAGCAGCGCAAAAACCACATTGATAACTATTGCACTCGCCAGTACTGCAGGAAAGACCATACACCATCTGAGCCCAATGCCTGACACCCCACGGCACCCAGCAAGCACCAATAATAAGAAACAATAACGGCGACCACCGAGGGCGGCACTCCAGAAAAGTAAAGTTGATTCCGCAGAACCCACAATAGGCGGCACACGGAAGTCCGCGCCATCAGCAGACGGAGGAGTTAACGCTTGCCCTTAGACTTCCCTTTCTTCTTCGTGCTGTCCTTGGTGGCCGCTGGCTGTCTTCAGCTGCGGCTTCTGACGGCGGACGGGGACAGGGGAGTGCGAAGAGCTGCCCACGCGAGCTTCCTCCACCGCTGCTGCCGCGTGGGCATCGCGGAGTTCGGAACTCAACGCACGGGCTTCTCTTAAGTGTTCCTCCAACAAGTTCATACGGGCGTCCAGAAACGCATGGCTCGCCGTTCTCTTGGCGCGCATCTCCTGCATAGTAGGTGCAGGACCAGGCGCGGGTGGCGAACGGCTACCCCTGTGGGCCTGCGCGCCAACCACGTCATCAGCCTGGTCGGTGGTGGCCTCGGAGATTTCGTCAACAGCCTGGCGACGGTGGACCGTCCGAGCTTCCTGCTCACGTCTCGTCGCGCTCTTGGTGTTGCTGAGGCGCTCATCGGGCTTCTCTGGGCACATCGCGCGCGTACTGGAACGGGGGCGCCTCGCCGGCGGATATCCACGCACCCTTGGGATGCTCTTGCTGCGGCTACGACTGCGCGCCCTGCTGTGGATGCGTCTCCGCGGTATGCTGGAGGTTCGGCGCCTCCGAGGAGGGGAGCTCCTGGCACCAGCAGTTGCAGAGGTACGGGATGCGCAAGCTGCTACCGAACGCCCAGTCCTAGAGCGCCACTCCCAGAAGTTCCAAGGGTTAGGATCCGCCTTCCATAGGTCTAGTTCATGAGCAAGCACGTCATCGATGTCGGGCTTCACCTCCTGGGGGCGCGGACGATCCTCGGAGCGGCTGCGAAGAGGGGGGCCGCGGCGTGCACGACGGAGTGCACGATCCAAGTCACTCCGAAGTTCCTCGCCACTACGAGTAGCCATCGCGCGCGAAGTCGAGTGAGTACTGTGAGCAGGAGCCCCCGTCCCTAGCAAGGTTTCCAGAGCGTCGGGCCGCTTCTCCATGCCGAACGCACTACGGTGTTGGAAAAGAATAGCGTCCGTGCCGAGCTAAGCTCACTGCATAAATGGTACGCCTACTTGTGCTTACTTGTGTGGGGCCACAATGGCTACGGAAAATCGTCGGGGAATCGCAATGCCTTCGAGCCCTTTATGGCAAAGTTCTTCTGGACCCTACCCTCTCTCACACTCCCTTGTGAACCTTCGTCCCTTGTCACGACTCCCAGGAACCAGCAGTAGTGAAATCCCAGGAGCCCGCACGACTAGCAAACCCGATAGGAACCAGAAAAAAAGCAGGCTCCAGCAAAGGCGAGATCGGAGGAACCACCGAAGGCAAGCTAACAGGAACCGGCAAAGGAACCGGAGCCTCAGAAAAGCGAGATCCCAGGGACACGAATCAAACGGATCAAACGAAGCAGAGGCCGAGGAGGAGGACTGTGAAGAGGACACACATGTTTTCGCACAGGCCTTCGAGCCTGGTCGACTAGGTCGAAGAGCAGGCAGCGGTGCTCAGGCGCTCAGGCAGCGGCGCAGCGAGAGATCTCGGCGATCGGTGGTCTCTCAAACGCGTGAAAGAATCTGGGTCGACGGGCAGCGATACCACCCATTACTGATTGAGCGCTGTATCACAAGGTAATCCCACCAATGAACCATCACTGAGTAGAGTCACCAGCACCATCACCTGCCAGGGTAACCAGCACCATCACAGAGTACAGTAACCAGCACCAGAGAACCAAAGTACGGGCTCCAGCCAGTCCCACCAGCCCTTTGGGCGTGAGTGGTTTAGCGAGCTCTCTCTGTCCTCAACCCCCCTTCTTCCCCTTCGGGGAGGGGTTTACCCCGGGTCAATTTCGACTCCTGGGAGGGCTAAAAAACGACACCCTCACGAGGATTCTGGCCCCGACGGGGGGGGGGGGGGGGGGGGGGGGGGGCCTCTCCTCTTCTTTGAAGCGAAAATCATTGATTTTACTACGGTATCGGCCCCATGTTGCCCTTCTCGGGGCGCAGCGCTCCTCTTCCTTCATAGCAAAAATATTGATGTTACGAAGGTGTTGGGCTCATTTTGTCCTTCTCAGGGGGCACCGCTCACTTCCGCTTCTGAGGAGGTCGCAAGAGGCCCCAAGCTGGCCCCAAGAGGCCCCCAGGAGGCTCCCAAGAGGCCTCCAAGAGGCCCCCAAGAGGCCCCCAAGAGGCCCCCAAGAGGCCCCCAAGAGGCCCCAAGAGCCTCCAAGAGGCCCCTAAGAGGCCCCACGAGGAGCCCGAACGACTCACATCAGGACGAGGGGCCCGAACGACTCGCACCACGAAGAGCCCGAACGACTCACACCATAAGGAGGGGCCCGAACGACTCACACCAGGACGAGGCGCCCGAAACACTCACACCACGAGGAGACCGAACGACTCACACCACGACGCGGGCCTCGAACGACTCATACCACGAGGAGCCCGAACGAGTCACACCTGGAGGAGGCGCAGCGACCATACAAGCCCCCCAAGATGGCCCCCAGAGGTCCACCAGATGGCCCCAAGAGGTCCCCAGATGGCCCACAAGAGGTCCCCAGGAGGCACCACGAGGCCTCCAAGAGGCCCCCAAGATACCCCCAAGAGGTCCCCAAGAGGCCCTAGAGGCGCCGAAGACGCCCCAAGAGGCCTCCGAGCGGCTTCCAAAAGACATCTACTACTACTTCTTCTCCTACGGTTATCATTGATTTTACTACGGTGTTGGCCCCAGTTTGGCCTTCTGAGGGGCAGCGCTCATTGCAGCCCCCCTCTTCCTTCAAGGCAAAGTCATTGATTTTACGAAGGGTTTAGGCTCATTGTGCCCTTCTGAGGGGGCAGCGCTCATTGAAGCTCCCATTTTCTTTGATCCATCCCCTCTACGATGGCCCCAAGAAGCGCCCAGGAGGCACCAAGACGCCCCAAGATGGCCCCAGGGGGCCCCCAAGAGGCCTCCAAGAGGCCCCCAAGATGCCCCCAAGGGGTCCCCAAGAGGTCTCAAGAGGCTCCCCCGAGGCACCCAAGACGCTCCTGGAAGCCCCTGGGGCCGCAAAGAGGCCCCCAAGACGCCCCAAACGGCCTCCAAGAGGCTGGGGCCCCAAAGAGGCCCCAAAAGGGGAAGAAGCCTCAACGCCACGAGGAGCCCGAACGACTCACATCAGGACGAGGGGCCCGAACGACTCACACCACGAAGAGCCCGAACGACTCACACCAGAAGGAGGGGCCCGAACGACACACACCAGGACGAGGCGCCCGAACGACTCACACCACGAGGAGCCCGAACGACTCACACCACGACGAGGGCCCCGAACGACTCACACCACGAGGAGCCCGAACGAGTCACACCAGGAGGAGGGGCCCGAACGACTCACACCAGGACGAGGGGCCCGAACAACTCACACCACGAGAAGCCCGAACGACTCACACCAGGACGAAGAGCCCGAACGACTCACACCACGAGGAGCCCGAACGACTCACACCAGGAAGAAGGGCCCGAACGACTCGCACCAGGACGAGAAGCCCCAAACGACTCAAACCACGAGGAGCGCTTTCTCTCCCTCCTCCTCCGCCTCGCCCTTCCCCCGCCCCACCACAAGGAGGATGTACAAGGAGGCGGGGGGAAGGAGGAACAGGGGAGATATGCGGGGGCAGGCGGAAACACGCCTGAAAAACACGACTGTCGGCATGCTTCGCAAGAGTTGCTGTTTTGAGATGGGCTGGTGGGGATACGCGAAGCGTAAAGAATTCACGCGCATCCATCTGTCCAACAGCTGGTCGGCTGACAGGTTCTGGAGCAAGCTCCTTGGCAACGGCCTCCTGAGCGACAATGGCGTCTGCCAGTTTCGCCGCCTGCTCCTCGCACTGGCCCATGGCAGAGGCCAGCCCCCGCTCGAGTCTGATAACTATTGCCGCCACCTTTTCCAGAGCGCCATCAGCTCGCTCCACTTTCTGCGAAGCCTCCGAGAGCCGAACCGAAGGCGGCCTCGGAGGCGCTGCTGATGCCTGTGCCAGAGTGGACTGCAAGAGCTTCGCCTGCTCCGCCGCTGCGCCTCCCTTCGCAATGATGAGGCCCAGCGAAGCAGAGATGTCCACCTGACTGGTCTGACCTCCAGCACCTCGAGGCGACCCAGCACCACGACTTTTGAGGAAGTTGCCGCAGAATATGCATGTATAGTCGCACTTCTCAAGAAGGTCGTTGTATGTGAACTTGCTGCACACTTTACACCACGTGACATCACGGCCGAACTTGGGCTTGGTGACGTTCTGGTTTGAGGAACGATCGGCAGCCGACGACCATGTCTGCGCGTCCAGGTTAGAATATGATCTCGATTTGCTTCCAAGAGCGGGCCAGTCGTCTCCCAAGACCAGTCTTGCACCTGGAGGGCTCGGGGTACGCCAAGGAGCCCACTTCTGCCAAGATGCCTTGTACTACTGCCTGCCACCCTGCGCCACGGCTGCGCCGGCCGTGGAAGGAGTGCGATATGCATGAAACCTGCGGTGAGCAGGTTCCAGAAAGACGCAAAGAAGAACGCTGAAAGCGATGGGAGCCTACCCCGCTGAGGCAGTGGATGAATCGCCATTTGGCCTTGAGCCAAAATGGCTACGGATCAGGGATGGGGGGGAGGGGGAGGAGGAGGAGGAGGAGGAGGAGGAGGAGGAGGAGGAGGCGGGGGAGGAGGCGGAGGAGGAGGACGACGACGACGACGACGACGGCGACGACGACGACGGCAACGACGGCGACGACGACAACGACGACGACGGACGACGGACGACGGCCGTCGACGACGACGGACGACGACGACGACGACGACGACGACAACGACGACGACGACGACAACGCCGACGCCGACGACGACGACGACGACGACGACAACGACGACGTCGACGGCACCGGCGGCGACGACGTCGAGCACCCGAGCTTTCCGAAAGCACGTCAGCATGACGCCACAATCACAGTCACACGCACACCCAAACCACACCCACAGGGGGGGAGGGGGGGAGGACATCGGGTCACCCCACACACACACAGCAATACACCACACCCACACCACATCAACAGGGGGAGGGAGGTGGGGGGACCATCGCGCGGGGGGGGGGTGTGGCATTAGCATTGGGGGGGCCAAACCCTCGACCATATATACCTGTAATTACGGCTGTATGCAAGCATGCATGCATGCATGCATGCATGCATGTATGTATGCACGTATGCATGTATGCATGTATGTATGTATGTATACATGTGTGTGAAAGTATGTATGTATGCATGTATGTATGTATGTGAATAAGTTTGTATACGTATGTGTGTGAGTGATCGCCAAACGCGCCCCGTGTTGCTCAACTTGCCAGCGCAATCCCTCAGCCTAGCCGGTTTACCCCAGCTGCGCGGCCGGGCGGATTTGACGCTGAGCGTGCCCCGCCCCAACCCTCGCGGCAGCGACCTCGGCCGCAGTGCGTGCGCGTGTGCGTGTGCATGTGCATGTGTGTGTGCGTGTGTGTGTGCGTGTGAGAGCCCCAGAACGGGCTGTCCGTGCACTTTTTTGGACGCCCGACAGGGGCACGGAAAACATGGGTACGATGCCCAACAACAATGCTGTCTAAAACCGACAGCGTCGGCTGTTCGGCAAGCGGCCTTCTGTCTCGAATGGACATCGACCGCGGCGACGCAGACAGCGAACCCTGTTCAGAATGAACAGGAACTGCTGTGGGGCGTTGTACCCGTTCTTCCCGTGCCCATGTCGATCGTCCCGCATTTTCGCGGTTCAACATGCTCCTGGCCGGTACTTTTGGATCGTTCGATTCTTTCCTCCGCGCGTCAGTCGGGCTGCCACTCGCGCCCCGGCATGCGCGGCTGACTTGCAGATGACGTCCGCATGGGGAACGCTCCGCTTGCCACAGACCTTCGTTCAGGAGTGGGTCGCTCTTTCTTTTCCTCCTTGCTCCCTTCTGTCCATACACGTCGTTCATTTCTAATCGTGCTCATTTCTGATTGTGCTCGTTTCTAATTGTTCCTGGCCCCCTAGTGGCCAGGAAGAGGCCCAGGATAGAACAATTAGAAATGAAAGGCTCTTGGCCCCCCAAAAAACACAAATAACTTTCGAAGAGTTAGACACGAACAATGTGTAAAGTCTTCTTGGTCTCACCTCTCCTTGCTCAGCGGCGGAGATTCCTCAGCGGCCGACCAACGCCGTTTGGCCCTCGGAGTGGCCAGGAGGGCTGCAGAGAGCCGATCACCACCCCAAGAGAAGCCCCAGGCGGCCTCCGAACCCGCCTGGACGTATCATGTATTTCCGAGCTGGTTCGGGAGACTCCACGTCTTGATTTGATCTTTTCATAGCGTTGACCCCGAGAGGTCTCGACCCATAGCGGGAGGAAGGACGGGGAGGAAAAGGGACGATCGGCGGCTAGCAAAGGGGGGGAAGTGAGAACGAGAAGGCCCTTGCAGAAGCCTGCGGGGCTTCTCAGAAGCCCTCGCGCCTTCTGAAAAGTTTTTCTGTCTCTTCGGGGAACGCTTAGACGGCTTCTCAGAAGGCCGAGGACTTTCGAACCTCCTGAGAAGGCCCGCCCCTGCTCACTTCACCCCCTCTCTCGCCGCCGAAATGACAATTTTTGAAAGAAAATGTTGCGGGGTTCGGGGCGACGGCATCCGTGGGGGCACGGGGGTGGGGCGGGGCACCTGCAGCATTCTGCTCGAAATCCTGGCATTGGCCACGGGGCACGTCTTGCTCACAATCCTCGCTCTGAGGCCAAAGCGCGCGCGTGGTTCTGTCCCGCCACCGAATGCAACGAAATGCCCAGGGCAACCCAAGACATTCGGCTCTGACAGCATCCAGGTCTCAATGAACAGGATGCTTTGGAGAGGGCACTGGGCAATCGCCCGTCGATGGTGTCCGTGCTGCGAACTTGCGCGGTTTTCCACGAGGGCAAGCGTGCGTCGGCGTTTAACGGCAGACGGCGTTGAAGGGGCATGGTAAGACGACGCGCGGGAGCCTGGGGAGGGCGCAGAGCTAATCCGTCAAACTTCCCGAAATGTGTTCTCGTCCACGGCAAACGGCCCCACAAGCAAGTGCCACCTCCCGGGTGAACCCTGCTTCCAACCGCGGTCTCCCTGAACGACGGGTTACGACTTAGAATGCTTCAGAGGGCGTCTTCGGGACATCTTGGGCTGTCACAGGGCTTCGCGCCATCTTCGAACCCTGTTTGGCCGTCTCGGAGCTCTCTTGGACTGCCTCGAAGCCATTTCAGATGGTTCTGGGCGGTCTTCTGGCCTCGAGCGCCCAGGGATCGAAGAACAGGGCATTCCCAACCAATTGAGCCTGGAAAAGGATACAAACATATGCAGTTGTGAACAGCGCAGTTGTTGGTATCGTCTTCGGTAAAGCCTCTTGTGGGACAACGAAACGCTGGACTGGGTGGGGGAAACGCATGCGCCACTGGAACCTTCCGTGGAGCCCCCTATGGGGCCACGAAACGCTGTACTGGGAGGTGAACAACATGGATCAAGGGCTGTCCTGGATGGCGGCTGACGCATAAGGGCGGTGCCATTGGGACCTTCGGTGGAGCTCCGTAACGGGGCCACGAACCGCTGTACTGGTGGGCGAACCGCAGGGAGCACGGGCTGTGCCGGGTGGTGTCTGACGCACGGGCGGTGCCACTGAGACCTTGGTGGAGCCCCCTACGAGGCCACGAAACGCTGTCCTGGGTGGGCGAAAAGAGAGCAAGGGTTGTGTTGGGTGGTGGCGAAAGCACGCGGGCGGCGCCACTGGAACCTCCGTTGGAGCTCCCTACGGGGCCACGACCTGTACTGGGTGGGTGAGATGCACGGGGCACGGGCTGTGCTGGGTGGTGGCGGACGCATGCGGATTGTGCATTGGAACCCTCGGCGGAGCCTCGGTGGGACCCCATTATGGGGCCACGAAACGCTGTACTGGTTGAGTGAAACTCATGGAGCAAAGGCTGTGCTGGGTGGTGGCGGACGCATGCGGGCGGCGCCACTGGGACCTTCGGTGGAGCCCCCCCGATGGGGCCACGCAGCGCTGCACTGGGTGGATCAAACGCTGGGCGGAGGGAGGAGGGGGAGGAGGGAAGGGGAGGAGGAGGAGGAGGGACGCGTGGACCGTCTCTTCAAAACGAGGACCCAATGGTGCCGGCGGTGAACTGTCAACCTGGTGACCGCCCGGAACCTCTCGTAGAGCTCCTTTCACGAATAAGAGTGCCCATAATCAAAAGATGGAACTTCTGAATCATTTCTCGGAGAAATGAAAATTCATAATTCTAATGTCGACATAAAGTTGGTTCCGCCAAGTGTTTTGATAGTGAAAGTGCGCCTAGAGAGCTCATATCAAGACGCAGAGGCCCTCATAGTCGTCTATAGGTGCGAAAAATCTGGTTTCTCAAAATGAATAGTCAGATATATTTGAAATATTCGCAAAACCAACCAAAAGTTATCACATTGTCCTTTCTGGTCGGGTCAGCGAACTGGCGCCGGCAGTAAACCGTCAACCTGGTCACCGCCGGGAACTCGTAGAGCTCCTTTCACGCATAGGACGAGCTCAGAGTCGAAAGAGAGAGCTTCTGGAAGCACTTCTCGAAAAATTGAACATTGATTTTTTTCTTGTCGAGATGAAGTTAATTGCTCCAAGTGTTTCGGTAGTAAAACTGCGCCCAGAGAGCTCAAATTAAGACGCAGAGGTCCTCATAACCTTCCACAAGTGCGACAAATCTGCCTTCTCAAAATAAATGGTCAAATATCTTTCCAATATTCGCCAAACCACCCAAAAGTTATCACATTGCCCCTTCTGTTCGGGTCGACCAACTAGCTCCACCCCGCGGCGGAATACCTTGTAGAACTCTTCGTGATCGATGAGCTAGAGGAATTCTGGCGCGGGGTGGAGCTAGTTGGCCGGCCCGACCAAAAGAGACAATGTGGCACATTTGGGTCTTTTGCGAATATTTGAAAGATGACAATTCATTTGGAGAACGGGTATTTTTCTCACGTATAGTGGGTTATGCCGCGTCTGCCAGTAAAATTTCAGGTCCGTAGCTACAGTATTACTATCAAAACACTTGCGGGAACCGACGTTCGATAAAACCAGAAAAATATGATTTTTCGAGTTTCTCAGGTCTTGCTCTCGACGCTTCCGTCATGCTTACCGAAGAGCGCCGCGTGAGAAAAGAGCTCTACGAGGGCCCTGGCGGTAACCTGGTTGACGGTTTACCGCCGGTTCCCAGTTCCTCTAGCTCATCGAGGACGAAGGAGCTCTACGAGGTACTAGCTCCACCCCGCGCCGGAATTCCTCAAGCTCATCGATGCCGAAGAGCTCTACGAGGTACACCAGAGACTGGCTGGGGAACTGGGAACC